ATTACAGCCAATAGACTCCAGTCTCACTGACAGATGAAGGACAAAGCCAAACAGCGCAGCACATGCTGTCATCACACACAAGTATAGTCCAAAATGATCCAGTGCTTGCATTGCTAATTTGCTATGAAGATCATGGTCACAGGAGCAGAGATGCCAGCGAGCAAACAGCTATATGAGAGCTTTTTTTGTTTAGGTGTTGACACTCACGGCATTTAGTACCAGAGTCAGAAAGAAGAAGAGCTAATAATGACTTAGTGTGATGATCAAGCACAAGAAAATTTTTTTTTGTTATTATTAGTAGTAGTAGCAGAAATTTAACATTATTCGTTTTTCCTTTCCACTGTTGCAAAGCACTTACTCGTCATCTGATTGTTCCGATTTTCACTCTATTACTGTCGAGGTTTTACCAAACAATATAAAGTACATCTTTCACAATTCAGAAGCTGCAGCCAAACTAAGATTATTGTCTTTGGCAAATGAGTGTAGTTCAGTATATCCATCCACCTGCTCACTTTCAATGACCTAAATGATCTGGTATTTGTTTCTTGCATGGTTTTCATTTGGTGTTTGAAGAAACACAATTTATGGGAATTTGTCTGGATCCACTCAAAGGAAAGATCACGGCAAATGAATACAAACTTGAGTTTGTATCCACGAAGAAACATTTCAATGCCGATGAGAATGGATTCTTCCAGAGCGACAATGGTCAAGCAGAGGGGGTGGGAGTGGGGAGCCACAGAAAGGCTTCATGTGGATGAAAATGATGTGAATCATATGCTGTAGTCTTCAACCCAATATAACATCTAACTTGTGACCAAGCTGATAAAACACCACAATCAACTCATGTGTGTATGTTTAAGAGAGAATGTTTTTTTAGAAGAAAGGTTAGTCATCCTTCCTGTAGAATACAAGCATTATAGTGATATGTTGTGACCTAAGCTGTTGAGCCTTACTAATGAGGAAATTTTGTGTTGTGTTTTTCCCTTTAAACCGACACCCAACATAGCAAAAAATGTAATGTCAATTATTTATAGCTGTTCAAACAATGAGAAACACAGATGAGCGTTTGGTTTTCCTGTGTGTGTAGGGAAATATGTACCTACAAGGAAGTATTGGGTTGCGGGGCTGCAATCATCATTTTCATATCCATACATAGATCACTTCATCTTTTTCTCTGCCCCTTGCTTTCATCAGATATGTAGTATGCCCACATTAGCATACACATGTGCACAGAGGCAAATCCTACTAATCCTACTCTACACCACCAAGGCTAGGCTTAAACCCAGCACTTCAACCTTATGAAAATAAATGGAGATTCAATGTGCCGTTTGTGCTCTGCTTCACCTCCAGTGGAGAAAGCTTCACTCTGCTAGCTGACATCGTTCCCTTGTCCCTCGCCTCCATTTAAAGGTTTGCTTTGACGTTCCCTGCCGTACCACATTTCCCACCAAAATGGCTCCTTTACGCAACTCCCTTAGCTCCCTAAGCCAACATGACCTCCTTATGTTGTTTCTGTGTGTGTGTGTGTGTGTGTGTGTGTTTAAGTATGCAAAGAGTGTTTTTAATTATGTCACTCTGCGTGTTTTTTTTTGTTGTTTTTTTTGTTTTGCTGGAACATTTTGGCCTTTTTCCACAATCTGCCGAACTAGATGTTTTGTGTTGAACTGCATATGTATGTGTGTGTGTGTGTGTGTGTGCAACCGCAGATCCATGCATATGTTCCACACTGCTTGTATGCTAATGCTGGTGCACGAGTCCGTCATGTCTAACAGACACTTTAAATGAACTGCTATTGCCCTTCTCTCCACCAGAGGCACAAAAGAGCAAAGTGAGCCAGCTTTTACACAGGTTTCAACACGCTATTCATTCCATTCTATTATTACAGTGCTTTTGATTTCATCCCACTGTGATGCAGCTCACAGCTGGGCCTCTCATGGGTTTTCTGTATTCATCACTCAGCATAACCCTACAAATTATGGTATGAATGGAAAGTTTGAGCCCAGCAGAGGACTTTAGATTTTTCGGCCAGGCCATGTGGGCTGAAGGAAATGACCTACTAGCTTTTCAAAACATCCCCACGGCTGAGTCTGAGGCCAGCGCTCTGGCCCTGATTGGTGAAAGCTTAGCGAGGTGTTTCAGGGCTCAGTGACGATGTTATCACATAATAAGAGGCCTTAATGGGCTTCCAACTGTTTGTTTGAAAGGCTCCCGTAATGACAGGGATCAACTGATAACAGCCTCAGCAACACACTGCAGAGAGCCATGAGACCTTCTCACAGATGAACAAACGCCATTGCACGCTTATTCAGATATCAGCAGCTACAGTGGGAGTCTGCAGCACACCCAGGTTGAAGAGAGGCACTGAGGTTTTCTGGATCTTCCATTTATGCATTAAGCAAAAAGAAAAGCTTACTATGCGGACATGTGCAAACACAGTCGGCCCACCCCTTCCCATCCCTCTTCTGTCTCTTCCCACCTCCTTGCAAAACAGGTATTTCCAAAGAACTCTGGTGCCAAGACAGAGCACCGCCATGGGAGGTGCTCTGGCAGGTCAGCACAGTGTGCACATCTAAACAAAAGGTAGGTGTCACCCAGGGTACCTTTCTTACAACAATTACGCAAAAAACTCTGAAGTTGTGCAAGCATGAAGAGCTACTGACTGCACACACACACACAAAGATACACGGTGAAATTTCCACAGTGCTACTCCCTTTATGTGAAAGGTATTTTCTCAGTCTGGCGTACAGACAAGCCTGACAACAATGAGCAGGACTGTTAAGTCAACTCCTGAAGAAGTAGAAGGAGAAGAAAAAGAGGGCCTGGGGAATGTCCAAACCGAGGCCCTTTGTCTTCCCCACTAACATTTAAGAGAGCGGGGAATGAGACTGCTGTCAGCAAAATGACTTGTAACATTCCTTGTCAAGGGATACACCAATAGGATGTTTTAAAAGCAGATAAAAAAAAACAACAGAGAGTTTTCCACTGAGCTGCCAGCATTTAAACTGAACTAAGATGTATTTTTGTACAGTGAAACGCAGAATTAGTCCAGCAGGCAATTCTTTTAATATTCAACTGACAGGCATTTATTTGACATTCAAGCAATAGCTGCAGCTCGTAATGTAAACATAATGAAATAGTAAATTGTGACAGTAAACACCATTCAACCAGCACGGCTATGTTAATATAGAGACACTTAAAAAACATGTCAGTCTCGACAAATTGAAGCTAACTGTCACTGTGATCCTGACTTGATCTTTGTCCCCAGCTTTTCTCACACTCTGACCCGAAGCTTAAACCAAATAACTGCAGTCCTTAACCCCTGCGAACGATACTACTGCCAGCGTGGATGTGTCAGTACAAGCAGTCGTGTATGAAGCCCCAGTGCATGTGGTTGCCTGCGTCTGTTTGTGCTTTGATACTTGTTTTTGTTTTAAGTCATGCCAGCATAAAAACCATAAAGAATCCATCTGTCAGCGTGGTGGGATTTCATTCTGCGTCAGGGGTATGTTTCTAGTTTTTAGATGAAAGAACTGCTGTGTGTGTGTGTGTGTGTGTGTGTGTGTGTGTGTGTGTGTGTGTGTGTGTGTGTGGCTTCATGAGAGAGAACCAGACAGAGAGCAAAAGAAACTGAGAGGGAAGAGTGTCTCCGAGTGCATGTTTGCCTGTGTGTATATATATGTGTGTGTGTTTTTGCTGGGTGTGTTCTTGGATTCCACCACACCAGGACATTACCCCCAGGTGCTCGCTCTCTCTCTCTCTCTGGTTCTGTGAAAATACCTTGAGGATTAGGTGGGCAGTGGCAGTGAGAAGGAAGAGAGGGGGTGAGGTAGTGATTGACGGCTGAAAGGCTGGAGAGGTGCTCAGGCATGCTGCGGTGGTGGTGGGGGGAGTAGGGGGCTGCACACACAGGCAGGCTCCGCGCTCAGCTGTTGCCACCCACACCCATTATTACTCCTCCACTACCACACACCACCACCACCTGCCGCCCCTTTAACACTGCACCCAGATCAGATTTCAAATAACTTCTGCTTACCTTTACCTCATGGCTTAACCTCAACAAAAGTGCTCATTCTTTTCTCTCGCTCTCTCTTCTGGCATTATTATCATCAGTGAATTATACCGCAGTGGTTCCACACAAGGATCCTCCCTGACCTAGAATCCTGTTGCTGATTAGTGGTTTTGAGACAAGCAGGTGTTTTGAACAACGAGAAATGTACGTCGGCACCGTGCGTTTCATCTTGCTAGTTTTTGCACAACAGAAAAAGACTCTGGATTGCCAACAATCTCCTCTTTGTGCTCTGTTCTCTATACATCATCCCCGTCTCAGCGCTTCAGAATGTAACAGTGCCCCCTATGGTCAAGCATAGAAGTACACAGTTGACAGGGGAACGCTGCTGTGAATCAAGTCCAGTGTCTAGCTCACCTTTCATTTTAATTATACGATCAGTCACCGCTGTCCAAGTCAAATGTTTGAACTGCATTAGTACTCATTTTTTGATGCTCAGTACTCATCACTTAATACATAATTCAATGTGTTTTGTCTATAATTACAGACTTGTGCATTATCTGCCTCACAAAAGCTCTGTGAGAGGTCCAGGCACGCACACGCGCACGGATACACGCACGCATCGTGAAGCCAGAGCCAGAGCTTGCGGTCATAACCACACCATCTACAAGCATAAAGCATATAAGGAAACCACAGGAGCAGAGTAATCATTGTACTGATGAAAGTAGACTTTTTCCTCATGGTCTCTTTGGGGGATTTTTTTCTACCACTGGTCCTATATCACAAACAGACGCTAAAGTTTTCCATTTCCACAAAATTACACATAATGTAGTGCAATTTAAATTAAGCCATATTTCCCCTTTTCCAGTAGATGGTGTTTAATGCGACCTGACTAAAAATAAAGTAATGGCCGTATGCATACTTGGAACTGAGATGGAAAATGAGAGGAAAGGCAAGTCAAGCACAAACACACAGAGTAATGAAAATGACTTACAGAGAGCAGCCATCTCTTTGGGCAGGTCAGCCCCAAATCTCCCAAACAGGCTGCTGTTGGCCAGCAGGTCGAAGGGGGAGTGGCTTCTCATGGAGTTGAAGGGAAAGGGGTACACAGCAGGTGGGAAGCCGGTCATGTGACCCACCTGCTGTTCCCTGTTTGTAGCCATGGCGACGGATCACCCAGGGTCCACAGCAGGCGGCTGGCTGAAGGTAACGGCTCTTTCGACACCTGGAATCCTCCACAAGGCTGAGATGTGTGTCCGTCGAAGAGTCTTAAGACGTGGAGAACGTATGGGCGACAGGGGGCCTCGGAGGTACTGAAGGATAGGTGGACTCCACTTTAGAAGAGTCCTGCTGTCTCTTTTCTGCAGATGAGAGGATAAGAGTAAATAATTTCCTATTAATTTAATTCCACATAAAATATAAGAATAAGTGCTTTTGATTGGCATGAACATGATGATACGATTAGTGTTTTGTTTGATGCTAAGATCTGCTCTAGATTCAACAAACAGGATTCACCTCACATCAACTCTGATTCCATCTGGGTCCGATAATAGTTCATCCACAGTTTTAATGCGAGAAGGATGTGTAAACTTCATACCAACAGGTATGAGCGAATGGGAAGGAAAGAGGAAGTGAGGAAGGACGAGATGGCGAGAACCATAACAGATAGAGAGAAAAAGAATGAGTAGGCTCGGAGAGGGAAAAGCCAGAAAGAAAAGAAAAAAAACTGGGACTGGGTGAGGGGAAAAGAAAATAAGAAAGAAGTTTGGAAAAAGTTATAACAGTGAAGAGTGGGAAGGAAGGAGGGAGGAGGAAAAGAGAGGGGGAGAGAGAGAGGGAGCTCTTGTACAGTTTTGAAGAGCTTCCAGACTTCTACAGTGATTCCAGGCTATACCATATGATTTAAATCACCAGAACTCTATTATAAAGAGCTCCTCTGTTCCTGCTGCCAGCCTAGCACAGCAGCCTGCCTCTTTGCCTCTTTCCCCTAGGACCAGGGGCCCAGACACGGGGTCCAGAGCATGAAGAAGGGAGGAGGGGGGGTCGATGAGTAGGGAAAATGAGATCCACTGATTGCTAACTGCTGCTGTCACTTCCAACTATCTTCTCTTGAGGTCAGGCTCCCATCCCACAGAGTCATTTTGGCTGTAGCCTCCTGCAGCCTTCTCGTCACTTTGACACCACACAGTGGGCATAGACAAGTCAGGCTCAAGTGCAGACAAGGCTGCAGTTATGCCCCTCTGTCGACTCTCAATGCAAAAAGGGGGGGTGAAATATAAAAGAGGCCTCCCATTTTCTTTTTCATGTTTTCCTTTTGCTTGTGCTTCCTTAGTGTGATTTCATGAGTGGGTGGTGTGATCAGCTTGTTTTTTATATGTGGCTTTGAAAAAGAGCAGAGCCAAGGAATTTGGAACTGCTGTGGCTTGTGAATCTGGGAGAAAAGACAGGGAAAAAATCCTGGTAATGAATTCGGTATAAACAAAGAAATGGAGGGGTGGGGTGGTGGGGTGGAAAGATCTAAGGCTAAACCAGTGAACTGCTGAACTGAGCGAAAAAGCACAGTGGAACAGTGACAGGGTCTGGGCACATGGGGGCACTAAGAGGTGGCGCCATGCCCGGGAAAAAAGAAGGGAGAGCTTTCCAAGAAGCACACATATGCGCCACACACGCAATCAAGCACTCAAAAACTCCACACATCACATGTGTGAGAGCATCCCCTAACACACGCACACATATGAACGCACACACACCTCTCACCCCGTGCCTTTTTCCAGGGCTCTGGCTCCCTCCCTGCCTCTCTTTCTGGCTCTTTCTCTTTCAACAGAGCCAGTTAATTACACCCTACTGCTGCAGGCAGCTTCAAACCACCACTAATTTAGAGTTCCATTACAGTAAACTGTTCCACATGTGCATCCAGGGCCCAGGCAGGCTCGGGTGGCCACGTTTCAGGAAGGAGCAGCCGCGGATAGGCACCCACCCCCATCCTGCCAACACAGCCATACTGCCATCTTTCTTCTTCTTTCCTTCTTTCTCTCTGTTTTACGTCTTTACTTTTTCCAGTATATTTCTCCTCCAACCTACCTTGGACCCCACCCCACCCACTTCTGACCCGCCTACACCTCTTCTACATAATCATATCCTTATACCCAGTCTTATCCTCTGTGCCCCATCCCTCCATCCTTCCACTGCTTATACAACTTGTACCATGACCCTGCGTAGTGATTCCACTGTGCAGCCAAGGCGCAAAAACATTACTGGAGACATCACACGATTTCACACTGGGCCTAATGAGAGAAGAGGTACAGACTGCAAAAACAAGACTGCCAGCAACGCGTAGCCTCATAATGTGCATGTGTGTGCGGGTTATGAGTATGTACTTGGCAAGCGTTCGGGCCATTTGGAGATCTGCTTCAAGAACTCAAACCAGACCAGGCCCCATAGAGGCAGCACAATGTGTCTGCAAGAGCTGGAAGAGAGAGGAGGATAAAAGAAATGGGTGACTGTGTGAGAAAAAGAAGACTGACAGCGGAGTTTACAAATCAGTGCGTGTGAATTATGTATTCTGACAGGAGGAAAGCGTGGCATATTAATTCAGAAATTAAGTTTAAAACGGTCTGAGAGACAGTCCAGAGGCTGAATTCTACCAGAATAAACCACAGCTCAACTCCACATTCAAATATGTGTTGCAAAACAAAGGCATTAAAAAAAGAAAGAAAAGAACTGAAGCACAGAGACGCAGCCTTTTAAAATAGAACCCAGTAACGTTACGCTCCCTAAACACAATAATGAATTAATAAAAGAATTGGCGCCAGAGTTTTTTAATGAGTCACATCAGCCCAGCAGCTTTTTACAGAGCCATTTATGTTTTATGTTGGGTCCTGTGGTAGGCTCACTTCGCCAGCCCGTCTGGGGCTATAAGGGGATAAGGGGAATTTGGAGTGACCTCATCCCCTGTTAGCCAGGGCCAAATGGGCATGGAGGGCCTCCCCACTTCCCCTGAGCCTGGGGGGCACACAGGAGGCAGCAGGCAGCCAGGCAAGCAAGGAGCACCAGGGCCAGCTATGGGTGGGTTTACGGCTGCTGCTGGGACTTTCCATCATTGCCTAAGAGAGGTGCACTGTAGCAGTTTAAATTTGCTTTGGTTTGTTTCTGTAAATAGTGTCAGAGCTCACTGCAGTCCATCATGTTAGACTAAAGTCATTGGTTACACTTGAGATAATCCAATGATTTTCATGTAGCAAATGAAGTTGGATCAATCAACCTGGCAATATGGAGACAATGCAACAAGATCAGGCATGCGTGCGGAGAAGGAGATTCTCTTGTTTGCTGAGGAGTTTTGCGGAGAAGACGGAGCAAAATGAAAAATCAAGTAGGAGTTAAAAAGAAAGCGAGAGAGAGAGAGAGACAACAGTTCCCACAGATTGAATGTCTGTCAGACAAAGGGTATCAAGTCCTCTGTGAGCAAAACAACAATTGTGCCTTAACTGTTGTGACAGAGCCCCTCAGGCAATAAGAACTGCAGTCAAACATAACAAATAAATCACAGCATCTCAGGAAGCTCTGCACCACACTACCAAGCGAGGCAGCTGTTTTTTTAACTCTGCAAAAGAAACCACAGGTGATTACTCGGCATACGCGAGCAGGACTCTGGATGCCATGACTTTCCTGGTTTGTTTACCGGTTGAGGTTCTTATTCCAGTCAGTGAGAACACAGAAGAATATTCAGTTAGAATTTTATATTTGTATGGCTATAAAGGCACTTTTCCCCACTCTTACCACACTGACACAGAGACCTCTCTTTGTTTCATTTCTCCACAAACTGAGCGAGTTCACAGATTTTTTTGTCGAGCTTCATCAACTCAGCAGAGGGTCAAAATATACATGTTTCTGTGAGGTAAAATAAAAACTGTGGAACTATCCTGTGCAGAGCAGAAACCCAGAAGTTCTGAATTGTACATTCACAGCCTCGAGATAAATGAACTGTGCCATCTATCCTGGCAGGGAAAACATCCTCTCACTCTTTTTCCACTTCTGACTTGCCCACTCCTGTCAGTTTTTTGACAGAAAACTGTGCATGCCTTCCAGGCACTGTCTTTAAACTGCTGACATCACAAAGTGAGTTATGTTCATTAACTCTATAAAGGAAATGATGTGTTGCAAAGAGTTATATTTTAAGTAATTTGTACACCAAGCTGTTAAAGAATGATTTCAAAGTCCAGGTGTCCAAACTGCACCAACCGACCAGTGTTTCAACATCTCGGAGCTAAAAACACGTTTACTGTTATAATCACTGCTTGACATGCCCACAGCCAGCCTTCAAAAGCCGTTAATGGATTCAGAGCTGCACAGGCAAATTTAAACGCTCCTACTGAAACAGCTTCACGGGTGATCTTGTTGCAAACATCAGCAGTACTTTACCTGAGAAAACAATAGCCGTGACGCTTTTATCTGATGCAAAGCTGACAGCTTCCACTCTTTCAACAAGTAGCTGGTTAATGGCTCCAAAATGACAGACGCTCCAAACACAGTTGCATTCCATCACCTGAAACTTGTTTGACATCTGCCTGTTCTTGGCATCACACAAATACCATTTCCTTGAAGCAACAATGCAAAGAAACACCTCTGTGTAATCGTTTGTCACTTAAAAAAGGGATTGTTTTTTCCTCTTTTTTTGTTAAAGAGCGCCATGACTGTCACTGTCACCTAGTCACTATTTTAAAATAATTTTTCTGCTCTCACTTAATCATAATGTCACATAACGATCTGAGTTGACATGCATTTGTGAGAAGAGCTATGGAAAGAGTGAGAACACACAGTGAGACATAAAACGCTTTGCGACATGATGAAGTCATCCTGACTGCTTGCCGTTTCCATGATGCGCCTCTCTCTGCAGTACACAACACAGAGACTTTTAGCAGTTGGTCAAGCAAAACAGGAAAACATGCAATGATGAGGAAAAGGGCAAGTGGCAGTAAGCAAACATGACAAATATAGAGAGAGGCGGAGAAAAAAAAGGTGAGGGAAGAAACTTTAAAATAGCAGCAGTGTGAAAGTCAAAGTCTGTGCTGCTAATATGTCTGTGTAGGAAGACGTAAAGGAAGAACTGGTAAGGATCCACGGAGGCAACAATGGAGGGGTTTCCCTTCCTAAACACACGCTGAAAACAATCCTCTCTGTGTAGAGCGAAGAGTAATGGATGGGTTTCACCACTGCTGCCTTTAGCCGCAGGACTCAAAGCAGCAGTCAGACACATGCAGGCCCAAACACACACACACACATTAGCAAGCACAGCATTCAAAAGGCCACACTTTCACACAAGTTCATCTTTTTTTGCCATTGGCACAAGGTCTTTTAACAAGAA